ACTTCTCGCACGCAGGCTGTCTTTTTCTTCATCATCTTCATCATCTATCACAATCTTCTTTCACCCTACATCTCCCTAACCGGATCGACCGGATCAGGAGTTCGGGGAGGTGGACGTGTCGAACCTCTCGTACCATTTGTTCGTTCTTCTCTGACAGTCCTCTATCATTTTCCTGGCTAATCTGCCTCTTGCCATATTCGTGACAGCAGTCCAGTTGTCAAGCGACTGCAGCATCGAGTTGACAGTGCTTTGCGGGGTGACTTCCATACCTAACCACTGGCTGCATTGTTGTCTATCTACCAACCCAGTAGTACCAGCACTATACTACTACTACTTCACAACTGCTCGTTATACTCACCTGACCGATTGTCACTACCCAAATAAACGCATGTAGCGGATGCATCTGTTGAGAAATCACAAAAGCAATGAATTTCGTTAAAGACATAACCATCGATAGCTTGATGGAAGCAGCCAGTTCGTATGGTTCATGTTTGATTTTTGGGCTTTGAACGTTAAGATATGCATGGGATCTCGGACTAAAACTGGAGTGGAGACAAAAATCGAAAATGAAATGTTGCAATTAAACTGGATCGATGGCTAATCAAATGAGATAAATATTCAGCAAAAACTCCACTTCTAATGAGAATTAAATTGCACGGGTAAAAAGCTTGACACACACTGTAACAAATTACTGCGTTACTTTCGATTCTATTAGTTTTTCCGAAAGAAATCTAAGACGAGAATATGGCGGCACCTGAATGGGCATTAAAATGATTTATGGTTATTGGGTGCAGTTAAAAACAGAATGCTCAAGACACTGACTCAAGGAAGTGAATACAAATGTATACGTATCCAGTTCACTGAATACCTTGCAGTCGTCAAAACTCATTAAGAAAGTTGCAGTTGTAACTTCAAGTAATTGGTTAGGACTATTAGAGTAGGTAGGAATACCTTATTGTCTTACGGGATATTAATGGAACTCTTCCTGGCATGTTCGGGATTGTATGGCTCTACCGGACCACCAGAAACATGAGAAAATGAAAAAAATTCTAATAAATCGAAATGAATGAATACAAACATGGATTAGAAAATCTGAAAAAACTGGTCCGATGGAAGTCGAACTCAGAATATAATGGTTTCACCCTTCAACTATTATTTAGCAGTATGTTCTGTCAGGAAATTCAAGAAAAAGCCAATGATGGCATTGAGAAAACCACAACCATTAAGGCGCTCCGAGTATCACCTACGTACTTCGCACTCGGAAGTTTATCAAAATCAGTGTACTTCGAGAACACGCGTCATCAAGAGGCTACGGAAACGTTAACAGACGGAAATAGTTGAAAATGGACATACCTAAGTAATTCCTTCATCCAAAACCCGATAAATATTTTAAGTGTGACAGATAAATCGTGAAAAATTTATAGAAAAAATTGAAACATTATTATGTATGAAAATATAGATTCTACAGTTGACCGAAAAAGTACGTGTCACCGCTTACGTGATCAATCGTGTTTCTGGAGCGGCAAAGGTAATATACAAAGAAAATCTATTTTCAAGCTGATGAGCTTCTAGAACTCCGGCAATGATTTTACTGGTCGACCCTTCGCGAACAAGTTTCCAGAAGCAGTGGCGAGATGTCGCAGTGCTGGTATAGTTTGGCGGTTACGTATATTAAGTAAACAGATCGAGTCTCCGTGCCATGGGCGGATGTTACTTTTCCTAACTGAGGGAAACCGATTCAAAGTTATTTACTAATCGTAAGACTCCAAAATCTTCTAATCTAGTACATAAACATGGGTAGAGTATGACACGCCATTTGATGTTTTTTAAAGTTGAAATAAAGAATACATACGGAATTTACAATATAGGGTAACTATGCCTAAATCCTACCCCCTAAGACATTTTTATTTTATAGGGATTGTTAATACTTAAAAAAACAACAAGCATATGAACGTAAACTTCGTTTAATTCTTAAGCTTATAGTTTCAACTTAATACACATAGGAACTTAAAAAAACTGAAAATTTTCGGTTTAGAAAAATCGTGTAAATAGTACGAAATAGGAGCATTGATCTTAATTCGTACCTTGGTGTGCTTAAATCGTAGTTATATTATTCATGTACTACAATTGTCGCATTGATATGTAATATACTAAGTGACATATAAATCCGAACACCCAGTTTAAATGGTTTTATTTTAATAAAATTTTCTATAAGTACTTAATGAAGCATAATAAGTAAATGATAAAAATTTCAAAATGATTGCACTGCTTTAAAGCCCTTTGACCTTTAATAATGTGTGGATGCACCCTCATGTGCTACGCATTCTCCAACCTAGGCATGCTTCTGAACAGGTGGTCAATGTCCTCCTGTGGTATCTCATTCCAGGCAACCACCAACTCCTCTCGAAGTGCTTCTACGACGTTGCAAATTGAGCAATCTCCTACCCATCATATCCCACACGTGCTCAATTGGGGATAAGTCGGGAGATCTTGGTGGCCATGGTAACAATGTGACATCATTATGTTGAAAGAAGTCTATTGTGACTCTTGCAACATGTGGTCGGGCATTATCTTGTTGGAAAGTTGGATCTGCCAGGGTGTCAAGATAGGGTAAAAGATGGGGTTCTAGAACTTCGTGGATATAACGCTGCGCGTTCATGTTACATCTGATGAAGATTAAAGGTGACCTGGAACCATAAGCTATAGCACCCCAGACCATAACTCCAACAGTATGATGAACATGTCTTTCAACAAAAAACTGTGGATTCCTCCTTTCACCACGTCGCCCTCTAACCCTGGCACGACCATCGTGCATGCCTAAACAAAATCGATACTCGTCACTAAAGACAATTATGTTCCATTCCTGATCACAGAGTGACCGTTGTCTGCACCACTTAAGGCGATTACGTCGGTGTTCTCGAGTTAAAGGGAGCACCCAGTGTGGCCGGTATGAAAACAAGCCAAAACTTCTCATTCGTCGGTAAACACTTCGCATGCCAATAGTTCTTCCGTGTTCTGCAAATCATTGATTTGTAATGGACCTGGTAGTGGAGAAACGGTCCCTTAAGGCCAATAATCTTAGGCGGCGATCTTCACGGTCTGTTGTTCTACGGCGGCGTCCAGTGCCCCTTGCTCTTTGCGTACGGCCTTCTCGACGCCATGCCTGACAACACCTAACCACAGTGTCTACACTTCTTTGCACTCTAACTGCAATTGCCCGAAAAGAAAGTCCAGCTTCCCGAAGTCCCACTATACGGCCCCTATCAAACTCATTAAGTTGACGAAATCGTACAGGTCTCCGTACTCTAGGCATCGTAACCGATCGTAAAGGATGTCAAGAACCAAAATTCGCCAACGTTGATTCTTTACTGCGGCTGAAATATTCATTTTTAGAGCGTTAGTGAATTAAAAAAAAAGCAGTATAAAAACCGGAATGTCCAACTGATAAGGCTGAAAAATTCTTCACTTGTTATTTACAGTAAGATAAATACATTCACCAACTTTTATTAAAATAAAACCATTTAAACTGGGTGTTCGGATTTATATGTCACTTAGTATAGTCTCCTTATCAACTCCAGCATAGTTCATATACCCAGAACTTGCAAACTTACATACTTTCTTTTCTATTTTTGTTACAAATTATGCAGTGCCATTCTCAGTTCCACAGCTTTCTGATATCACCTTTTTTTCGTGTTGATTGTTTTGACTTCTTTATTTGGGTTTAATTTTACTTCCTTCTTCTCATTTTCATCAATTTTCTTTTCTAAGTCATTTTTGTATGAACTTTCGGTTAGAACTTGAGCTTGTATAATACCTTATGACATCCTATTCTGTACGATTTTAAATTTTGGAATTGGAGAAAGGTTCTGGAGATGATACCTTACAAGTTGGGCTGAATCTTTTGGCTCACCTATTTTATGAGCAGAGCTAACGATTCTTTCAAGGACATTTTTTTATCTACGAAAACACTCACTGATGAATCTTCAATGTCTTTAAGATTTAAAAATTTGGATTCTGTTATCCACCACTGCTTGTTGGATCATCAAACGGGTATATTTGTCCTATGGTAGCTTCCATTATCCTATTTTCTGAGGATCTTTCATGTTTGTTAATGGTTTTGTGTGTTAAAGTGCCAGTTTCATCATTACTTCCATCCAAAGTGCTTCTATCGTCCTCTTCGAAACTTATATCCATTGCAACATAATCTTCTTCTCTGATCTTATGACGATCAGGTGGTCACAAACCACAAGCTTCAAATCCGTGCAGTACCTACTGTAGCCATAGAAGCTGCTCTGGGATATGCTACGCCTAAGCAATATCTGTCTGTTCTATAACGCTGCCCGGATGTGTGCGCATCCATGCCTCTGACGCTTCATTAAAATGGTGCTTTAAAGATTTGAAAAACGATTTGTCCAAAGGTTGAAGTCGGTGCGTGGTGTGTGCCGGGAGGGATAACATTATAATTCCGTATTCTCTTGCAAGTCTTATGGCTTGAATGTTTTTCGTGTGAGTGGAGTCACTGTCTAGGATCAAGAGCATTTGTTATTTCTTACTTTTTTCTAGCCTAGTACATCCTATTAATTGTTTTAGCCATTCTATAAACAGTTCAGACGTTATCCAACCACTATCAGAGCAAGTGTAAAGAGTACTTGATGGGCCTCCCCTTTTAAGTACATAAGACATACGTTTTCTCTTATAATTTAACATTGGAGGTATACATTCTCCGGCAGCGTTCATACAACATAAGTAGTATTTGAACCTTTTTCTCCACTGGTTACAGCGCCTACTTGTTGCTTTCCCTTTTTGGCTAAAATTTTTGATGGTTCGTGGACAGTGCTCCATCCAGTCTCGTCAACGAATTCGATGGGGTAGAAATTTATGCTCATCAGGTATTTTTTCATATTTGTCAAGAAAATCCGTAACTCTTTGTTTACTAAATCCTCTGCAACGCGCCATTGACGTCGACTCAGGTCTTCTTAAGGAGATTTCTGGATGGTCTTTCATAAATTTATATGAGTAATACCATTTCCAACCCGCCAATTGTTTTTGCTTATTAAATCGATGATGAAGATTATATTTCTCGGCAAGTTGTAGGCTAAGCGACGCAAATCTTTAATTGTTAGCCCAAACAAACATAACTCCAGTTCCAGAATATGTTGCACCAATTCTTCCCCCATGGCAGCCGTTAGGTCTTTCGGTCTTCCAATAGTTTTGTGTTTATTTAGATTTTTTAAATGACGCCTGAACGTAGGTTTAGGAATATTATATGTAGGATAAATTTCATTAAAGCCCATGTTTCTGCTTTGATATTTCTCCAAAGCTTCATTCATGTTAGCCTGTGACCAAGCATTATATATCCTTTTCGGCATTGTTATATGAAAAAAAATTGTAATTCAAACTCCCTTACAATAATCGCTGAATAACAACAAAAGTTTGTTAAGCCAAATTTAATAATTTTCGAGTATTTAGATTAAAAAAAAAGAAATATGCTATCTTACAAAGCTAGACTTGCAGTTCACTTCTAAAATAAATTCCAATAATATAAAAATATTAATATATCGTACCAGTACGAAATAGGAATACATGTAAAGGTACGTTTTAGGCATATGACCAGATTTGATATTTTAAGCCTGTTACTATTTGAAAACCTAACCTACAGGTATCATAACATAATTTATAAGAATTTCTTCCTAAATGATGTTACTTTCTAGAGGTATAACTATTATAACACTTACCCAAGTCTTGGATAAAATATTCCTTTACAAATAAAACCACACAATAAAGCCACAATATAAGTTAACAGTAATTCGAGTATGAAATCACTTTGTTAAAATTTACCGGCTAAGCAAACTTACACCGTGCAGATCATGAGAATACAACATAGCCGATAGGTGAGTTCTCGATTACCAGCAACAGCAGCGTTCCTAGACATAATAGACGCAAAATATTTGAATGAGGTACGATTCAGGAGCAGGTACGATTTAAGCATAGTTACCCTAATACAAAATAACACATCTAATTGCTAACTTGATGGAACATTTAACAACATTGGATATGGATATGTGATAATCTTATGAGAGCTTTAGGGAAACCATCTTGAATAGTAAAAATGCTTCCTGGAGTGAAATGCGAGTAAATAAATTACTACTAGACAAAAAAAATACATTTTTATCATGATGCTCTTAAGGCGGCTCCGACGCAGTGAGTTTCAAGCCATTTACAAGGGTTCAGCTGCTTCAAAACTGACACTCCATTTTTCAATATTTTTGAATGAAATGCATACAGTATGTTGAGAAGATAATTGCCCAAGGTGCTATAAGAGCACTTTTTGAAATTTTGTTTTTGCAAGTTTTATAATGGGTTGAAGTGCGCACTTTTTCTGTTCAACTTCGCGATTTTTTTAAAAACAACCTAGTGAAAAAAATGAAAAAGTGGCTCTATAGCACCCTGTGTGGTTTTGCTTTCAGCACTCTGTGAAAATTTCATCCAAAAAAATCAAAAAATAAAGCGTCAATTTCGAAGCGCGCAAACCTCTACAAATCGTATTTTGGACGAATTTTGTCTACTGTTTCGTGCTGCCAAACCAAGCGTTGCGGCGCAATGTACGGACTAAGAAAGGACGTATTCAGATAATTTGTTGTCCCTATTTCATATAATATCGCGTAGATAAGTCGTTCTGCAAATAAGTACTCATAATCGCGATCGCTGATACTCCTCGATTTAAAAGCCGTTTTACGTCCCACGTCATTGGCGAGGAAGTATTGTAGTCGCGAATAATTTCTAAAATGAGATGTTATGTTTTTTTAAGTCATATGACATCTACATCACGAAAAACTGTATCACTCATCATCAACTGGGAAATTACCGCTCGGATTTTTATGAAATTTCCACACGCGGTTACTAGTATGCCAAAGCTTTGTAGTTTTAGTCCAGAGGCAATGGTGCTATAGGCAAAAAAGAAAAAGTAACAATTGCAGAAACTCCGTTTTTGACGTTTCAGGGGTTCCTAATCATTGACATAAAAAATTGTACTGCTTAAAAAGGGGGGGTTGAAATCAGTGAAACACGTTCTATTACTAAGAATCTTCTGATCCCAGTGATTACAGGAAATTTCGAAGTATCGAAAATCCGACGAATAATGTGCTCACGATTTCAAAAAATTGGTACCTGCTCTATAGGTTTGACATAAACAGCCAACAGACCTGCAACTACCGACAGTAGGGAAGAATAAATTCGGATATCACTCCAGTCAAGTATAGGGGAATTTAGCATGGAACTTTAAAATTATCGATATGTCAAGGAAATATGTTTTTGAGAACGATCATTTTGTAGATATTATACCTGCATTTTCATTTGAATTTCATGACCCGTGAAATGTACCCATTTCACCGTTACCATTTGTGTTCTACAGTTTGTGATGTTTTTCTGGATATAAGCAGGCCATAATTGCCTAGGGTGCTATCAGAGCTTTTTACAAAATTTTGTCTTTGCGCAAGAATTATGGTGGGTTGAAATGCTCACTATTTGTGCTCAACTTCCTATTGGATAAAATCGAAAAAGTGGATCGCTGGCTCCCTGTGGACTTTTTTTTAGCACGCTGCAAGAGTTACATATAATAAAATAATAAATAGTAAATAGTAAGCTTTGAAGTGCAAATCGGTTTTTGGGCGAAATTCATCTACTGTTTCGTCCTGCCAGTAAAAGCGACGCGACGGTGCGTTCCGACTAAGAAAAAATCTATTCAAATAATTTTATATCTTTCCTAAAATAAATTCAAGAACTCAAATTTTAATTCGTTTATTCATGTCAATAATCACAATTATGCTTACAAGGGTCGTGTGGTAGGTGGTAACAATTGAACGAGGGTCATAAAAATATCTTATGCCGTCAAAATAAGAGGAAACAGTTAGGTAGTTTTTGCAAAGCAATAAATAGGTAGGCTTTACCTGGATTAAGTACTTGTCTTGTCTACTGTAATAGGTAGATGGAGGTGATGCTGCCAGAAATGGATGTGGGCGATCAATAAACAAACCACAAGATTGAACTGCCGTGTCCAATGATTTTTGTATTGCCTTTTTTTATTGCCTTCCTAGAAAACTCTGTTGGTCATATGATGGAGTTTACTAGAACTTTACAGCTTGTTGTCTCCCTTCTTCTACAAACTTCACCAAATCGACAAGCTGTCAACCTTATTCTCCGATGAAGACGCCACAAAGCACAGTCCTGTGATTTGGTGACTTGTTCGATATGCAAAATCTCACTTTTTCTAAGTTTCCCTAAATATTCTTGCTTAGCAACTTCCAAATCAATGTCGTTCATGTCAGGTTTTTGACAGAATTCGCCATAAAACTATTATATATTTTCTTTGGAATTGCTATGCGAATTGTTAGTTATTTTTATATCAACCAACTTTTTTTGGTCTGAGTTTCTTTCCAAGATTCTTGCGTTTGAGTCTTTGTTCCATCTTAGTGATAAGCGAGGTTGGACTAACCAACTTTTTTTGGTCTGAGTTTCTTTCCAAGATTCTTGCGTTTGAGTCTTTGTTCCATCTTAGTGATACGCGAGGTTGGACTAAGCTTAAAACGCAAATGCATTTGGACCACATAGACAGGCCGCTCGGTATTGTGGCTCACTACAGCTGCAGCACATTTTCCATGGTATGACCTCTTCTTGCAATAATTTATTCACTTACCTCAATGTGCTTTGCGATTATAGAGTTGAACTGCTCCACACTATTGTTGTCCTCATCATGAATTAAACTCACTATCAACCTTGATAAAAAATTCACTCAAGAACAATCACACCAACAAGAGTACAACACAACAATTCAACAACACAATATCGACAAACAGTAACAAGGGTAGGACAATGCTAAATGATCACTAGCTGAGTACCAAAATAGGAAACGATTTACAGGCTAGATCGCTAATTGAAATCCGACTCTGTTATTATAAAAAATTACCTCGCTAGGCACCCGCAGTCATCCTTTCCTCTTTTAAAGTAGCACCGACCACCGTCTAAGACCAGCCCACAATCGTTTCCTTTTCACCCCCCGTTACCTCAGCAGATGGTGCTCGTGATTGTAGGAGCCCCGTTAAACTCGAGCTTTTAAATCTGTCGTCTCAATAAACATCAAGCTTGTATCTTCCATATCTGTCAAAATATTCCACAATCTACATTAAGGTGCACACATAGAAAATTAAGATTTATAAATTTTCTAAACTATTTCAATAAAACTATGAATTATATTATTGCTCCATCAGAGCCATCTGAACTTTCTCCCAAGTGACTCACCTTCGCTAGAGCATCGTTCCAAGCTTTCACAACGTCCTTTTCACCATATCCATTTTCCCCAATATGACGATCATACTGATCATAGTACCGTTTGGCTATTCCCCAGACTAACTCAATAGAGTTGCATTGACAATGGTAAGGGAGGAGCCGCAAAACTTGATGTCCATGTTCATGTAACATTTCGTCTATGATATATCTTGGAGTCGATGGTTTATTAAGGCGACATAGATTTAAAAGCTGGAGTTTAAAAGCGTCATCACCAAAATGTATCTTCTAGTCTTGCAGCCACTGCTTTAATTGAATCTTACTCCAACTGTAATTGGGCACCATGATAAGAGGCATTATCCATTATTACTAAAGATGGCTCTTCTAACGCTGGTATCAGCTTCTCACATTCTTATTTTTCCAAAGAATCTTTGTCCATGGAATTGTGGTAGTCAGCACTTTTTGATTTTTTAGCAAATAACAGTGCACTATCACACCGCTTGCCAGTACCCTCGTGGCCGCTTTTCATACTCTTTACGTTTTTATCTTGCTAAACTCGTTTAAGCATCCATGTTTCATCTAAGAAAATAAATACGTTTGGAAACAATGTCTGATTTTTTACACAAAAGTCGACGGTTATCTCCTGCCTTGTAGGAAAAACCGCAAGCTTACAATGAACGCCTTAAATTTTAATCCTGATTGAGCGCGGATGTCTTGATATGTTGTCCTTTACTGCTCATATAGTAAAAAATATTCCTAACAGGGAACCGCTGTTTTCATGCTCTTCCGGGAAATACTCCATTGATCGTAATTCCGGGCATTGCACAATTTTATATTGAAGATTGATAACAGGACAACTCAAATTGCACGCCGATGTCAAGTAAGTTGTCACTCTGACAAATATGATTGGAAGGCACTCATACGTAACGACAAAGTTTTTGGGACGGAGACACACGACTAGAAAACGTAGTCTTTGAGCTTATCGAACAAGCGTTCAGACACAGACGTAGGTAGCATGTGTATGTATGAGGGAGATGGAGATATACAGGGTGACTTTGAAGTTGAGTCATTAATTTTCAGATAATGATTG